TGAGTTGGAGACCCTTGGCGAGTATATATGGGATCCGAACCCCGAGCCATGCGGTTGGTAGAGCGCCACTTGCCACTAGAACACCTCCGATTTCAGTAGAGTCGACTGAAATCGGAGGTGTACTAGTGGAAGGTGGCGCAATCGAAGTAGAAATTTAACTGAAACTGACTGATCACCAATATCCATCGATATCACTTCAGTGGAGTTACATAGTATGATATTAACTAGCTATCACTTCAAGGCATGTGTACCCCAGATCGGCAAGGTGCACTGCCGGTGCACTTTTTGAAAAAAAATATACTGAAGGGTATCGATGGATAGAGAGCAATCGATATCAATTTGGCTAGTTCTATTGCGTAAATTCTATATCTTCGAAGAAGAGAGTTAAAAACCTCGAGACAGAGTTGTGGACACGTACACCCAATTATAGGCGGTAGTGACTTGTACTGCCAAAACTTGAAGGCACAGTTCACGATAATTATGGGTAATCCAGATTATGACGAAAAATGGAAGATAAGATGGAAAATAGTGCGATGAAGGGGAAGAAAGTGCGCGAATCGCTGTTTCAAAAGTGAAAAAAAGGCTTCGAAAAAATGGCTGAAAAGGGCCTGGACGAGAATGAGACCAGGTAAATGATGTGGAATGGGGCGTTTGGACAATGATACGATGTGCTTCATTGCGCACGTGTGGGTCCTGGTGCGAATAGCTGACTACGGTAAGCAAAAATTCATTCCCATAAGCATGAGTTAGCAAAAACTCTAGTAACAACAAAAATAGTCCACCTTTTTAGCCTATTGAGCTAGAAAATTAGAATTGGGGTCCCAGCAGGAAAAAGAACAAAAGAGAATAAAAGAATGCGAGAGAAACATCGCCTCATCGCTTAGCGATCAGCTGATGCGTGTGGGTCCTAGAACGAATATTGCAATCTGCATCACCTGGACACTCGTCTGACGAGACGTCGATCGAGGGGCGGGAATTCCGGGCAACCCGATAACGTGGCTTCCACTATGCCCCAACTGTTGAACTTTGAGACTCGACAGCGTCCCTCCTGTCACCCTTGGGGTCATTGGGTATGCCTTGGGGGGAAGAATCAGGAACCATTTTTGTCGTGAACTGTGCATTTGACGTAGGCGATACAATGATGGATGTACGGCACTAGCAGGTCCGTCATTTTCTTGAATTTGCGTCATCTCTGTTGTTCTTCAAATGAAACAATTCCGAAGAATTAAACAGCCTGTTCCGAAAAGCATTCTCCACATAGAATTGGGTCTTCCGTGCGATCAAAAGTTCGAGAGATAGGTCACGAGCATTTTATCTTCAACAACATCAGTGACTCAAAAATAGCTTCCCTCGAACACCCGAAACTAAAACATATAATTTTTAAGTGTTGCACGGAGATTCACCCCCTTTACCATTGCTTTTAGGAATTGTCGTCTAAAACCACCATAAATTCTTCATCGTTTACCGGAAGTTATTCGCCAGATTCCTTATTGAGTTGAGCCATGTGGGGGAGTTGTCTTTTCATAGGGCAGAAACCAGCAATCGGAACTTCAACAATCTTAGAACAGTATCGTAGAACGAAACTTATTGGGCGGGACATATAGGAGCTATGTAGAACAGACGTCGTACAGGATCCGGGAACAAGTGAGCGTTTTTTTT